TTGACAGTGGAAGCCATGACTCTCAGTGTCCTGGTGGCCTGTGCGGAGGGCCCGCGGGGACGACCGTGTGCCGGCCTGGTCTGGGAGCCACACCGGGCCCCCACCACGCCGAGGGCCGGGCCCACCCAGACGGGCAGCGCGCGCACACACACACGCACACACACGTGCGCACGCTGCCCGCCCAGCCTGGACCACACGCTGCAGCGTTTCAACACTCCCGCCGACGTCCCTCCGTCCTGCCTCCTTTGCTGTTCCACGGCACGCTCCCCATGCGTCCTGACCCCGACACAGGCGGACGGACAAAGAAAGGCCACCAAGCACCACCCCCCCCACCAACACGGGTCAGTTCTCAGCAGCGAACTGTATGTGTCACACACTCGCTGTGGGAACAAGCAGGGGCCGGGTGAACATCAGCGTGGAACAGAAGCTCCAGGCCTCAGAGGCTACGCGGTGACCACATCGTGCACAGCAGCCTCTCCCGACACCAGGCCGCCTGGCCCCCGCCTGCACACGCGGCGCGGCCGGGCCAGGCCTTGGTGCGAAACCCCTGGGACCCGGGACCCGCGGAGCTGTGCAGCGAGACGCCCAGAACGGTCCAGGGGAGCAGGAGGCGCCTGCCGCAGGAACCCCTTCTCCCAGGGTCAAAGGGACAGCTGGCCCTAGTGCTCAAAGCTCACTTCTCCACCACACACTGTCGGTCACTGTCACTCCTGCCCTCCAGACGGGGACCTATGAAGATGGGTCACTCCAGGCTGTGGGGACCGCTCTGTGATGACGACAGAAGCATCTCCGTCCCTCGGGAAAGTGCGCGACGGCACTGGAGGGGACAAGTAAGACGATGTGCACGCCTCACTTCAACACTGTTCAGAAAAGGTGTGTGGGGTGAGAGCTGGGAGATTGTAAAGGCGGCGGATCCAGGCACAGGAGCCAGCGCCTCCCAGGGGGCGCTGCTCTCTCAAGCATGACGCTTTCAGAATAAGGAGGTTGGGGGTTGGGGGCTGCTGCAGCATATTATGGGGACGACAATCACAAGGTGGCTTTAAACCACTCGTGGTCGTTGAAACTAGAGCAAAACAAAAAACCAAATCTTATTGCCCAATTATGATGTATAGATGAAGCTGTACACCTGAAAACACAAAGAAAATCTCGTGCGATGCAGGGCTGCGGAGCTCAGCCCTGCACTCCCACAGACAAATAAACACTCCCCGCAGAGTGGCGTTAAGAAAAACTTGAAAACGTTCAAGAGTAAGCATAAATAACGTACTGGATTATGAACAAAACATTACTGAGCGATGTTTGACGATAAAGATTCAATTTTGTAATGTTCGATTCTCAGGAACAATCTAAAAATCTAATGCAATGAAAATGGAAACACCAACCGACTTTGAAGTAAGCCAAATTCTGACGTTCATATTAATAATAAACCAGAAAAGGAAAGTAAGAAGCATACAAATATTCGTGTATCATTCCAAAGAAAAACACAGCAAAGACAAACCAAAGAAACAAGACAGCGGCGCCCTGGCCAGGCGCAGAGGAGCGGGCTGGGGCACCCTCCTAGTGCTCCCCATTCTCATTGCTTTGCCTTCTAAGAGTCAACAACATGCAAACATGCGTAGCCCTCGACTCCCCAACCCAATCCCAGCTGAGGGCAGTCAGCCGAGGGCTGCAGCTCAGAAGAGTGTGGCGGGCAGCGTGGGACAAAACAGAGACTGAATCCAGTGACCCTGGGCTCGCTGCAAACCCCGACCGCCCCTGGCACGTGTCCTGCAGTCGTGTGGGCCTCGCAGCCACCAAACTATGTCAGCGAAACGCAGGCCTGAGCAAGCGCGTGGAGAGCTAGGGTCCTCAGTGTGCAGGGGGGACACACAAATACAAGCTGGGGGGTCCACAGGGGCTGGGCAGGGGCTGAGGCTGGGGTATCTGGGAGGTCATGATTTCCAAAAAGGGTGTGTGTGCTGCACTGCACGTGTGCCTGCCCTGGGAGTCACCGTCACCGTGTGCCTGTCCTGGGAGTCACCGTCACCATGCGTGTGTCCTGCCCTGGGGGTCACCATCACCATGCGTGTGCCTGTCCTGGGAGTCACCGTCACCATGCATGTGCCTGCCCTGGGGGGCACTGTCACCATGTGTGTCATGCCCTGGGAGTCACTGTCACCGTACGTGTGCCTGCCCTGGGAGACACAGTGGTATTTAAAAAAAAAAAGTCACTGTAGATTTGGAAAATATTTCTAAGCAAGTCACAAGAGCTAGAATCTGTAAATGAAAAAATACACTGAAAATTTGAATACCTGACAATTAAAAAATGTATGTCAGTGGTGGTGGCAGGAGCGGGGAGCGGGGGGTGAGTCAGAAACTGAGAAAGAATCGTCACGTGGGGCCAAAAAAGTTAACTTCCTATGTATGTGAACAGCTGTCACGAATCCGTAAGAACAGACCAATAATCTCCACCCACATCCCAAGATAAGGTAAGAAAATTAGAAGACAGAAAAAATACTACTAATAAACGTTGAAAGATGCTAAACTTCACTTATAATGAAGGAAATACAAATTAAAACAACAAAAACATACCATCTTACAATTACTGGATAGGAAGAGACAAGTTTTAAAGCACAGATAGCGGAAATGGCACGAAGAAATGGCCCTTTCACACGCTATGGTGGGCTGGGGCCGACACCGGTTAAACCTCCATGGACAGCAAGTTGACAATCTCCGTCAGAATTCTAAATCCACGTATGTGACTCCGTAAATTCACACAGCGACTCCATTCCGAGGCGCCAGCTCACCGTGCGTCTGGAGGGGCGCTGGGCGCTGCCCGGGTTCCAGAGCATCCCTGGCCTCCAGTCACCAGGTGCCTGCAGCACCTCAACTCCTTTCCCGCACTAGCGACAGCCAACATGTCCTCTGCGGCAGGGGCCCCGACCCCTGCGCCGCGGACCGGAACCGGTCCGTGGCCTGTCAGGAACCGGGCACAGCAGGAGGTGACCAGTGGGCGGGCAGCAAAGCTTCATCTGGATCTGCGGTCACTCCCCAGCGCCGGCGTCACCGCCTCAGCACCCCCCCCACATCACCAGGCGCTAGGTTCTCAGGAGCGGAGCGCTGGTCCCTGGTGCCGGGAAGGTTGGGGACCGCTGCTCTGCAGTACCAAATCGTCTCCGTGAGAACCACTGTACAGCAATGCGCCCACACACGTAAGAATATCTGCTCATTGTGGCTTTGCACGACAGCGGAAGACAACCTACGCGTCTAACTACAGCGACCTGCCGACCCTGACACGACACCATGTGGCAGCTGAGAAGAACCGGAGTCCTCTCTGACGCACAGGTGTGTGACAACACCCGAGGCACAGCTAGCTGAGGCACGGAGGCACGGGGTGACAAGGGGGCCCCGACATGGCACCAAAGGGACAGCTACTAGAAGTTGCTCTGGGAGTCCTGGACTCGGAGGCTGACGGAGACGCAACTTTCCACCCTCTGCAGGCTTGTCTGCTGGGTGTCTGATGGTGTGCAGACAGTACTTATTCCAAAATATTTTAACGTGCCATTGTTTAATACAAACATTTCTGTTTTAAAAACAAAACCACGGCCATTGCTGGAGAATGCCATAGTCCAGGGAGCAGAGGCAGCGTTTTGGGACACGATCGGCGTCTACAGAGAACTCGAAAAAGTCTTGGAGTCCAGAAATCCAACTGTAGCTGGGAGAGATCTACCCTGATGAAGTCATTTAGGATATACACAAAGATGTAGTATTTATAATGCTGAAAAAGTATAAACAACTTAAACGTTAAATAATAAAGGAAATGATTACATACCATCATGCTACTTCTTTAATAAAGTAATTTAAAATACTGACAAGTGGGAAGACTCAGGATACGGTACACGAAAAGGAGAAGAAAATATTCACAATACATTAAGGGACAAGGGCAGGTCACCAAACAGTCTGTCTAGTGGCATAACTATTTATGCATTTAAAAAAAAAAAAACTATTTTTTAAACACAAACTATTATGGAAAGCACGTATAGCAAAAAGAAGTTTGAAACACTACATGCATTTTCTACAACTGATGTGATTATTCTTTTAACGATATTACTTCTGTTAATCTTTACTTTCTAACTTTTCCCAAAAGAAACATACCTTACATAATGACATTAAAAGATAAATGGTTTTATATTAAAAATTAAAGCCATATATAAAAATACGCAAACCCATATAGAAAGTACGAACACAATCTTTAGGATGTGAGTTTTACATGTGCAACTTGAACACTGTCTTTGTTTTTCTGTC